TTAGCCTTTTTAAAGTTGATTTATAAAATAAATACTGTTTTAAATTCATCAGTTCCTGATTTGTTTATTGTTTATATTAGTTTTTTTTTGTTTGTTTGGCTTGGACAATTGTCATTCAGCTAGTCTCGATCAACATAAGTTTATTTAAAGAATTTAAATATGTCAATTAGTGAAACATGATTAATATAATAATAATAATATAAACATACTTTGTTAATAAATACTATATCACACCTTTGTTATAATTTAGTTATTGAAAGACGTCATGTGAAATACATAGTGTTCTTACAAATAAAAATATGTACCTACTATGTTAATAAATATAACTATGGTAATATATATATTTTTTTTTCACTACGTTAGGACCTAAACCCGATTCAACACGTCGGAGGTTTAGATCCTCTTAGTGATTGTTTTACTATATTTTTATTATTTTTTAAAATTATTTTTGCCATGAATTTTTTCTTACTTACTTTACTTTTTCGAGTCTGGATCCGACTACAGTTTCTCTGCCCAATATCGGGCTACGTCTACAGCCTTTGTATTTGCGAGCCATAAATCATCGAGGGTGTACTGTGATGGGCAAAGTCTGCATACTCTCAGGTGCTCCACGTTCTGTATTTCCCCACATTCACAGAGTACCTCGCTATCTGTCTTGATGCCCATTTATTGAGGTTCTGTGTTACAGGGGCAACACATGTGCGCATGCGGTTGAGTGTCCGCCAGGTTCTCCAATCCAGGTTCATTCCATTAGGTCGTTCTGGATGTAGGGGGAACACTTCGGGTGGTTCGATGCTGCCATTTCTCATAAACCTTTTCCTTGATTTAAGTCGGCTGATTCCTGGCGCCCCTGGCGGTTCGTCAAACCCCTATAATTGGTGCCGTTCATCGAAAGTTTGCCTGAACTTCACCACATATTGTGAGGCACATCTACGGTCGTCTGGTGATGCGAATCCAGCTACTATGAATTTTTTCTAAACAGAGGTTACAAATCTAACTAATTACAGGCATACTTTACTATCAGACAAAAAGGTTATCAAGCAGTCAAACATTTTCTTTTCATTGAGTGATAATAGAAAGAGAATATTAACAGGAAGTGGAATGTTCTTGTCTATCAGTCTTTTAATTAGATTATTGGTGGGTTGTTTGTACTTTTGACATTCAAAAAATATGTGATTTAAGTCACTTTTAATCTGACATTCTTGACAAATATCCGAATCTAATATATGTAATTTAAATAAATGTGTACGATAACATGCATGGCCCAATCTACTGATGGTAGTCATGTATTTACGAGAGAATACGAAATTCTTATACAAAGGTTTTTTTGGAATAATTGGTTGTATCAAACTGTATTGTGTTGTTGAAATATTACAGTACTTTTTCCAGTGTTCTCTCCAGTTGTTCATTTGTTTAGTTCTTGAACAAGCAAAAGTTTCTATAATGCAATGCTGATAGTTGGTTAGTGTTCCATAAATGATGGAATTTTTAGCTAACTGGTCTACGTGTTCATTATATGTAAGTAAGTCCTGAATGTGCTTTGATCTACATCAATTGTATTTTTTGGGTGTATTTCAAATAAGCATTTTTTTAATTAAAAAAATGTATGGATTAGAAGTACTATAGGGTAGTTGCGGTTTTTGAATAGCTGTAAGTACAGATAATGAATCCGATAAAATTGCTGCTGAACTATACGATGCCAATTTAAAATAATTTATAGCCTCATATATGGCCGCAGCCTCTGCACTAAAAATAGAAAAATTTGTGGGCAGCTTAAACATTTTTTCTATAAATTTATCTGGAGTATAAAAGGCACAACCAGTACCCTTTGAACTTTTAGATGCGTCTGTATAAATACAAACAGATTTTGGCCAATTTGTCAGATAGTTGTTTAAAACAATACGACTTATCTTGATGGGTTCTCATGATAAATAGGTTGTATTATATATACTTGATCCAGTAACTCAAAGAAATCTTTAAAATGTACCACTTTGTTTGCAATTATAAGTTCAGTATTTTTATTTGCAGTATTTCGAAATGCTTCGCATAACGGTGGAGAATTCTTGCGAGTCCAATATTTATTTGTTAAGTCGAAATAATTTAAAATACATTTAAAACACATTGAACATTTTGACAGGCGATATTTTGCGCCTTTCCCCTTTAATACCATACGATTACAACTACTATTACTTACCTTCTATAATTACGATTAGAAAACTATTCAAATTCAAAATAAATAGGATCAATTTCGGAATCCGAGTCGTCTTGAGGGCTAATAATTAGCGGTTGTGTCTCTACGATCCATATTTTTTGTTCTTCTTTCCTACTGCATCTTTCCAGTTTTGTTCTGTAATATGTTGTAAAGGCTCGTATAACAATTCACGTACAGCTTGTATTTTATATGACGTATTTTTTCTAGCCACATAACTTTTCATTTGTGCCCAAATGAATTCAATTGGACTTATTTCGCAGTGGTAGATTGGTAGTCTAAGGACTGTGATGTTTCGCCTTTCCGCCATTTTGTAAATTACTTATTTCTTGAACTTATATTTGTGTGATGCCGGGCAATTTTTAAAAGTTCTGCTTTTACCATTCCATCTTCGTAAGGCAGATACTTATTCCGTAGCTAGTCAAGAATATCCTGTTTTTTCCACGCAGTCGTTGAAAGTCTTTCTACTAGTCGGTGCATTATCTAATACTATAATTGAATTTGATGGTATGTGTTCAATCATCTGCTCAAAATACTCTTCGAAAACTTCAGCTGTCATCTCCTCGTGATAGTCTTTTGTGCTTTTGGACTGAAATTCCAACAAATCATGCTTAACAAATCCTTTTTCACTGTCAATGTGAGAAATTATTAATCTACTGCCTTTACCAGAAGGTGAGGAGATACCAGTAGACCAACCTTCCGTAAAGGCTTGCCTGGAGCTTAATATATTTTTATCTGACCAAATTTTTTTAGAGTATGACCTACAAGTTCATCTACGTTTCATCCTGGTAGAAGATTGGCCTTCCTTCAGCCCGGAATTTTAATATGGATCTTAGATAATTTCTTCTCCAACATATTATCTTCTCCCGGTCAATCAAAACTGATTTTCGATCTGATTTCTCCCACCGAAAATTTCATTCTTTTAAAACTTGCCACAATTTAGTTCGTCCAATATGAGGCAAATCCGTGTCGTCTCTAACTTCTTGTAAAATTTTGTTTGTTTGGTATTTCTTTTTTGAAAAAAAAATCCATGAATTTTCTTTCGAATACCATTTTTGGCAAATTTATCAATTTCAATAGGCTTTTTTCCTTTCTTTAAGTGTTCCTTTGTGTTTGGATTAGCTATACCGTGTTTTTTTCTTTCTGATAGGAACCTATATATAGTTGAGTCCTCTACTGCAGTCATGTTGGCACAATTTTCGACTATGTTGCGAGCAGTGTTTGTGGGATTATGAGAAACCAGAGCATCATGAATATTTAGAACAATAGTCTTCTCTCTTAGTGAATAGACAGACTTACTGATTGTATTCAACAGTACCGGTGTAAAACTTGATGATGTTGATGATGAAGCCATCACAAACAATCCAACAAAACGAGCACGAGCGAAAGGTACGTATATGTTCTTAGGTATATGGAATAGAAAATCACTCACGCACTGCATATAATTCGCAAAAGAAATATTCGAGACGCTAATTACTGGCGTAGACGTGGAAACATCGACGAGCCGTAAATTACATGCGATCAAAAACGTACTAAACAAAAAACTTCACTCTTTCAAGTTAAGTTTCGAATATAAACTGAACAGACGAGGCACGTGGCCAAAGCCGGCATCTTTATACCCATTATATTATTAAAAATCTGGGGAATTCCATGATAATTATCTTGCAACGAATAGTACCTACAGATATGATTTCCAGGTTTTCTAGTAAAGTGATTAAACGCGAAGATTAGTATTGAAACATCCAAAGAGATGATATTCTTATTTACAACATTGTTAATGGTTAAATTCTTATTTTTATTAATATAATATAATAACCAACATTAGCCGTGAAAGTTTTAATTGTTTTTTGTTAAATATATTAGTATTAAAACATTATTAATATTGATAATGAATAAACACCTCAGGAACGCCTATGATGATACAAATTTTACGACCGTTTTATGACTTTGAGGCACATTTCGTGTTATCAACAATTTGTGAATGGAATATAGAAAGACGTAAAATAACCTTCAAAGTTTGGCACTCAAGAAGACATTGTCCGTAGACTACCACAAATTTTATGAAGATCTTTCCTATGAGTAGCGTTATTATTGTTTTTATCCTTTTTGCACTTAGAATAATAAAGTTTCGTTGCGTATAGAATACGCGTGTTTGATTGCATTAAACTGCCAAGTCCATTATTACAGTAATTTGAAAAACTGATAACCAGATATCTGTTACAATATACTAAAAATAAAATTATCAGTATAATTTTTTATAATTTCAATGATACAACAATTATTATACTAATTTTTGCTAATGAGCACTATTTTATTGTTTTCCATTCATTTTTATAAAAAGAAATGCTGTGAAATCATTTTTTGCCTCTCCTGTAAAATTCAGTAAAATGGATTTAGCAGGTTAATACTTTAAGGCGACAATATATATTTGGCTATTGACTTTTCCAGTTGTATTTACTTATATTAATGTTTACAATGTTGGCCTCTGTTAACTTTCTGACTAAGTTCAGTCTAGTCAAACTGGTAGTCCACCCCCTTTCAAACTCATCCAACATCTCAGTGGTACCAAGCACAACCACCAGTTCGTGAAACATATTACCGTTCTCCAAATACGATCTGCAACACGTAATAATTTTAATGTTCATCGAGGATTGCGACTGAAAACGGTAGTTAAGGTCAACACTATGATCGCAGTCCGATAAAAATTCGCTTTTCCAAGTTCAAGTTTCTACAGTTTTTATCAGGTGTCAGTGTGATTGTGAAATAGATCACAGAAAGTGCTCAACGAAAAATGTTTCTTCCTAGTTTAAAGTCTGTTTATGTTTCGGCTGCAGCAGGTAGGTGAATTTTTTCGCTATTTTTTGGGCATTTTGTTACAAGCATATAAGTGATTTTTGATAATAAAAACAGACTTAAAAAACATTCGTTTTAATACTAAGAGAAGTATCAATCAGAAGTATTTTTGTGAACTACGAATTTATTGGCAACTATACATAAGATAGTTTTATTGCTTTTGGGATACAGGGGATATTTGGGATACTTTATTGGACTTTTTAGAATGAACCCACAAATTGTGGTGCATCTATAATATTATATATATTATATAGGCAGTTGCATTAATAGGTTCAAATGTTATAGCTGTACATTGTTGATGACAAAATATATCACTTAGACGAAAATGTTGCTCTGTTTAGAATGTTGAAGTTCACTATGAAGAATTTACTCCAAGTTTGCACCGATAAAGATTATTCTTCGATATATTTAATATCAAACAGAAAATTGCATAACTTTTTGTTTTAATATTATAGATTTTTATCATGTTACACTTCATTTTTTCAAGGGACTTTCAATAGTTCTTTTTCAATTGGAAATTTAGTGTGTAAAGTTTTCTTTTTGATTTTTATTCTTTCGATTTTTTATTGAGTACACATTCTTCTTCTTCTTCTGGTTCCTATCCGTTTCGGATGTTGGAAATCATATGGGCAATCATAACCTTGCTCGCTGCGGCTCGAAACAGCTCCGTTGAGGTTTTCTTAAACCATGTTCTTAAATTCCGCAGCCATCATATTCTCCTTCTACAGGGTCCTCGCTTACTTTTGACTTTACCTTGCAATATAGACTGTAGCAGGGAGTAACGGTGCTGATTTCTCATAACGTGTCCCAGATATTGCAATTTTATGCGTTTGATCGTAAACACAATCTCTGGTTCCTTCTTCATTTTTCCTAGAACTTCCTTGTTCGTGATCCTTGCTGTCCATGATATTCTCGGCTTTCTTCTATAAAGCCACATCTCAAATGTTTCAAGTTTTTTAATAGTGGTATCTGTAAGCGTCCATGCCTCCGCCCCGTACAACAACACAGAGAAAACATAGCATCTCAAATGTCTCATTTTTGTATCAAGGGATATGTTGTGACTTTTGAAGATGGCTCTCATTTTATTAAAGATTGTTCTTGCCTTTCCTATGCGGCACTTTATTTCCTGTAAATTGCTTCCATGTTCGTTAATATTAGTTCCCAGGTAACAATACTGTTTTACTCGCTCTATCTGCGTCCCATTAATGTATAGATAAGCCCCGTTTATATTCTCCTTGCTGATAATCGTTTGTTTCGTTTTGTGGGTATTAATGTTTAGTCCGTACTGTTGACTGTACTCGTTTATTCTGTCCATTAGCCTCTGAAGTTCCTCTAAACTATCTGCTATCACCATGGTGTCGTCGGCATATCTAACATTGTTTACTCTTTCACCATTTAGAAGGATGCCTTCGTCTATTCCGTAAAGAGCCTCGTTAAAAATTTTCTCTCAGTACATATTAAATATCAACGGCGATAAGATACATCCCTGTCTAACTCCACGTAGTATTTTTATGTGATATGTTTCTTCTCCGGTAATTTTCATGTATGCGGTCTGATTCCAGTAGAGTTCTGAAATTATTTTGAGGTCTTTGTCATCCAGGTCTGCCTCTTTTAAAATGTTTATCATCTTTTGATGTTGAACTCTGTCAAATGCCTTGTGAGTACACATTCAATTCTTGTTAATAGGTTAATAGGTCTAAAATACATATAACACAACAAAAAGTAAACCACATAGAAGTGTGTATATTTTTTCACATATAAAAAGACGCTCCACTTATGTAATATACTTTATAGACTTGAAATCGGATTATATTGGCGGTGTGAAGTATTTTTTTTAATTTTAAATGATTTTTTGGTTTATAAAAAAGTGAATTATGGGCAGTGGTTCCTAAGATACAACCGGGCGAAGTTGACCAGTATTTGAGACGAAGGTATGAAGAATAAGATGACCTTTAAAACGTTCGTTACCTTTTCTTTCGGATCTCTTTCTCGATGAACATTTTTTTATCTTCGAGATATTGATAACATATATTAAATAATAAAGACAATCGGTATTGCAAGTAAAAAATACCAAAATACTAAGATGAAAATTGAATTTCAAAATCATACATAAAAAATACTATGTTTGTTTATGTATACATAAAAAAGTATGTTTTTTATACAATATATATATATGTATTTATTATGTAAATACAATTATTCTCATTCGAAATCTGTATCATTGAGGAGGTAAAATGCAAACAAACTTAATTCACAAATACTTCACCCTCCTGATGTAATTTTTCGGGGGGGGGGTGAAAAACTCTAAACGAGGATAATGAGTTCTAATCAATGTTATACAAGCTGTTATTATATAGCTAAAAAATAGTTTAAGAAATTGATTTTCTTTTGGACCTTTTCCACGAACTCAGTAAAAATAAGTCCTTTTGCATGTAAAATGTTATGCTTCTTCTTCTTTAAGTGCCGTCTCCCAATCGCTCGATCACAATCACTATCTTTACTTTATCTACTACTACTCTAAAGAAATCTATATAACTAGATTAACACAATCGAACGCTTTCTGGTAATCTATAAAGCATAGGAAGACATCTTTTTGCTGATCTCTGCATTTTTAAAGTAGGACAGTTAAGCTATAAAGTGCTTCTGTTGTGCCAAATGTACTATTGTTCTATTGTGAGTTAATTCTTAAATTTAATTTTTTTTTAAATGTTATGCACATAAGTTAATTTGCATGTAAAAATATGTAAAAAATAGTAATAAAGCAATAAAATAAAGAAACAATAGTTTTCTGAATAAACTTTTTAAATGTGCAAGTCACAGGGTTTATCGTGGAAGCAGTCACACATTTCTTCCTCACCAGCAGCTGCTGTATTGGGTTCATCAAAAATCAAACTCATGTACTAACCAAGGCGTGGGTCAAAAGTAGACCAGTCCTCTTCAATTTTTTTTTTTTAAGTTTGCCAACTTATTCGGTGTTTTCTTTGGTTAACACATGATAAAGTGGTAGTTCTTCCAGTCTCACTTGTCTTAGATTATTTTTCCCTTTCTTTCTCAAAGATACAAAAGACTCTTCTCCTTTATACCTGTAGTTTTTCAAACCTGTTATCAATACAATCAATCTTTTGTAAGACTTTCCTTTTATCATTTCTCAGATCTGTTCAATTTCTTGTTTCAAAAATCCCAAAGCCGCGCAAACTTCGATTTTAATTCTATAAAATGCATTAGATAGGTGGAGTGTTTGTTTATATGTAAAAAATGGTACAAACTTCGATATGGTTAAGTTTTTGTTGTACAAAACTTTGAAAAATTTGAAGGAAAGTAAAAAAAAATGATATTTTCCGCAAATCGCCAGGAAATTTTGATATTCCTGTCAAAATTTCTTGAAGAAAAAGTCAGGACTTCCTTACTGTAAGGAAATGTCATTTCCTTACTGTAAGGAAATGTCATTTCCTTACTGTAAGGAAATGTCATTTCCTTACTGTAAGGAAATCATATTTCCCTACAGTTGTTAGTGTTCTACATAAATGATGACAAGTTTGACAATTCAACCTCAATACGTTTCTATAGTAACCCAAGTAATTTTATTAGGAATTTCAAAGCACCATTTATTTGGGAATAAAATTATCGCGTTTTTTTCTCGGCTTGCGCCTCGACTTAGCAATCTTCACAGTCGTCCAGGAATGTTAAGCTTTTCCTACCCGGTAAACAATGTACTATTTTTATTCATTTTTAAAATTTCATCTATTTGAGAGGAAGGAAAAGTTAATTTTTATTATTTACACAGCCCAGCTTGAACATCCGTATTAAATAGTAAAGTTTTATCATTGTATCGTGTCTTATCTTCTTTTTCAATGTTTTCGGAATTGTTTCCCATATGCACCGATGCAATTCAGTTTTGTGATTAAGGTTTTTGTCTAATTTACTATTTTTATTTTGGGAATCAACCACAATTTTCGTTTAAAATATATTTAATTTGGCGTTTTGATTTCTTCTTTGAAAACAGTTTTTATATTATAAGTGACGTTTCTACAGCCTCTTTGGATTTTATAACGCCAGCAATCATTCTCATAGTATTGTTTAATTGGACATCTACTTTGTCTATATGTGGACTGTTAAGCCAGGCTAAGGAGCAGTATTCCGCGGTTTAGAGCACAAGGAGATTAGAGCACATGGGTTTTCTCCATAAGATCGGAGTCGACTACAGAGACATTCGAACAATAGCGAGTCTCTATTGGGGTCAACCAGCTAAAGTGAAAGTAGAATCTACATTGACCAATAAAATTAAGATCAAGAAAGGGGTATGACAGGGCTGTATCTTGTCTCCAATTCTCTTTAATATATACTCAGAAAAGTATTTAAGACAGCGCTGGAGGAAAGCACAGAAGGCATAAAGATAAATGGAGAAATTATAAATAACATAAGGTATGCTGATGGCACTGTGATTCTAGCAAGTAGCATGGAGGAACTGAGTTGCCTAATGAGTAAGATACAAAAAACAAGTGCACAATACGGACTCAGACTAAATATCACAAAAACCAAATGGATATTAGTAAGCAAAACCCAACAACCACCACAGCAGCAATAGCAGGATATTAGACAATGAAACAACGAAACAACGAAAGAAAGTGGATTCGTACATCTACTTGGAAACAACAGTTAACTCAAATTGGGATCAAGCGAAGGAAAAACGTATAAGAGTAGAAAAGGCAAGAGCATCGTTCACTAGCATAAAGCAAATTTTCACCTCTAAAAGCCTCACCCTACCTCTCAAAATTCGACTTCTGATTCCCGGTTTTGTTATATGGAATGAAGGCGTGGACAATGACCGCAACATTGATGAAAAAAGTAGAGGCCTTCGAAATGTGGGCTTACCGACGTATATTACGTATATCCTGGACTGAGCACGTGACCAACGAAGAGGTACTACGCCGGATAGGTAAAGAGAGAGAGAGAGGTAGGAATAAGTATAAAGAAAAGAAAGTTG